GCAAAGGTTAGCAACGACATATTTGAAAAACATCCGAAACCGCTACTGTCGCACATGATACTAAGGCGCGCGTGTGAACAAAAACGTGAATAACTCAGAAATTCGCAAATTACCGCAAGATATCGTTACAGATCCTTGTTCGGGAAGCTTCCAGTTTTCATTTAAGCCTACTTCGTAGGTAAACCGAGGTGAAGATCACAACTTTTACCTTCCATAAGCATTAAATATGTCTACGGTTTATATCTCTATCCATATCAGTGCTGAAAATAAACATTTTGTTGTGCAACTTACATAATTATAATACTAAAGTATCATATAACAAGCTAATAATACTGGATGAACATAATATTAAAAAAAAAATGAACAACATTATGTTAAACTTTGCCCAGAAAAATTGACTTTAAAAAATGTTCAACTTTGAAGACTCATATCTTCCAAATGGTAATAATAAAATCATTTAAAGTGCGAGAACATTATGCACAAATTCCTCATAAACTAGTTCTACTAGACAGATTTTAAGAATTGCGATTTACATTTTTTTACTTTTGTCCACGTTTTCGCCGTTTTTCGCCACTGTGCGGCGTGGCGGCGCGAAGGTATAACGACCCTGGAACCTAGGTTCAGTTGGTTACAAGCGCTAGAAAGGTAAAGAGCGGCTTTTACCTTCCTGAACGACTCGTTTTGCAAATAAAGTTCGTGGGATTCGTGTGGTGTGCGGTTAAGGAGTGAAATCCATAGGTCAATATCACTCAACAATAAGGTTTATTCAATAAAACGATAAGAAAAATGAAATTAACAAACAACAATAACAACAAAAGTAATAAAAAGTATATAGATTATAAATGATCAATTAGAACAAAAGAAACTAAATAGATTTTGATTGTATAATAATAATAATGGAAGCTCGTAATTAGAGAACTTAACAAAGTGTAATTCGCTAGTTAATGCTTTATGTTAAATCGTACCTAAATCTGATCTCTGATAAAGCTAACGTTGTTTTGTAATATTAACTACTTCTGATATTCCTTATATACGAGGGTTGTCCGTAAAATAAGGTTCCCAAAGAGCTGTAGTTGTGAGGAACGGTGTTACGTGAAATCTGGCGGCACTGACGTGTAGCTTGGTCCTTCCTCTTTCAGACCCCGCCACGTCGAGCTATCTGCGACTCTCCATTTTAGCATGACAATCGCTAGAAATGGAGCTCCCACTCGCTTCTCCCGCTAGGTGCGAATTACACTCTGTGATTCGTTTTTTATGTGCAAAAAACATTGCAGCGGTGGACATTCATCGCCAATTATGTGAAATCTACGGAGAAAAGTGTATGAGCGTAAAGCACGTGCGAAAATGGTGCAGAAAATTCAAAGACGGACGTACAGATGTCCATGACGAACAGCGTTGCGGACGGCCATCCGTTCTATGCTACCTTCGCGGCGTGGCGGAGAGTTCTATGATGCGGGCATAAAAAAGATGGTGCACCTCATGCAAAAATGCATTGATCTGAACGGCGATTGCGTCGAAAAATAGGGTTAAGTCTAAGCTTTCCAAAAACATATTACTCAATGCCAATAAACATGTTTTTCATTGTGAAAAATCATTGGGAACCTTATTTTATGGACAACCCTCGTATATTCGATTCTCGTGTTCGAAGCTATCGCAATGACAAAATTTAACTTGACTTGTACGATTGATTTATATAAATGTTCTTTAACGAAACTAATTAATATTAGCGCTTTATAGTCTACCGCCGCGAGGAATTTGACCTAAGTGAGATTCTCTAAGTGTACCTAAATACGTTTTCGCAAAAATTAGACAGATTTATCTACTATCTAACGCGGGGTAGTCGACTACGGAAATTACGCTAGAATGAGAACAGTATTCTTTTATTAACTCAAATTACCAAAATTTGGTGATTTAGAACAGTTACTCCTTTTATTATCTGACTCGACAACTAATGGTCCATGACCCTTTTAGCCGAAACGAATACTGATAGCCGAAACCAGATCGCTTAATTGGAGAGCCTGCGTTAGCCAGCTACTAGAATGTCCCACGACCAAGTATCCAAATGGCGTATACCCGCTTGACCAATTAAGTATCAAGATTCGTTGTGGCTCTTGACAGCGAAAACTGTTCCTGGTTATTCTTATCAAAGAGACTTGTGAATAGCTCGACTTCGAAAACTGTTCTGCTTTTAGATGGGTTTCGCTCGCCCTTTTATACTCGCAGGTTCGCCGAATTCCTGGAATTTCTGTGACGTCAGAATATCTAAATTTTCATATAAATTCGTTATTATACATTAGTTATAAAATTGGATGGTTTAATTATGTTTTAAATGTCGCTCTTTAATTTCTGACTAACATTTCGATATTAAAATAATAGTATAACGGTGTTTTAGCGAAAAATACATTTTCTCTCCTTTTCTAATGAACTGTGCACAATTTCTTCGTGAGCTGAATCTATTCCGATTTACAGCTTTTTAGTTGAAGAAAATAATTTTGGTTCCGGTCATGAATAGTTTAGTACTGATTGATTTAACATATATAAATTGATTTAGTTAATTAATTAATTTAATGTTTGATAATGCCGTAAATAGAAATAGTATCTCTATCCTTTTCTAGGATTAGCGCTGATCTCAAGGGTGAACTGCGTACAAATTCTACGTGAGCCGAATCTATTCCGATTTATAGCTTTTTAGTTGGAGGAAATAATTTTGGTTACGGCTATGAATAATTTAGTACTGACTGATTTTACGTATATAAATTGATTTAGTTAATTAATTAATTTAATGTCTCATAATGCCGTAAATAGAAATAGTATCTCCATCCTTTTCTAGGATTAGCGCTGATCTCAAGGATTTCGGGGCGAGCATCGCGGCACGTAGGCACATCATAGCGTAACGGAAATTTCTCATACAAAACTATTTATTAGAATTAAAATAAAATAATACATAATCTTGGTTTAATCATTGTAACTTAATATTCAATTATTTTTACAGAAAAATATTACCTACTCTAAATCAAAACTATAAGATAATTACTATAAGTGAATATTTAATTGAAGGTTATTTAATTTTTTACAAATGAGAATTCGTTCTTTTTTCATCATCACAATATCTAACGAGAATAATTGTCCATATTTTATCTATTATTTCTTTGCGATAACAAATAAACGTATCGAATAAATTCGATTTATTCTGATTACATGAGTAAGGACTAATTTCTTCATTTCTTATCCATTAATAAATGATAATTCAATAATATTTTGGATTTTTTCATTCGTTTTTCAATATAACTTTCATCTAACAGCTTTCTATTATACCGACGCTATACCGACGTGGTACGGATACGCTTGTTCACGATCACGATCGATCGTCATTTTCGAAGCTGTCGTTCTCGCGTCTGAGCGAGCTGTCGCTCTCGCGTCTGAGCGCGCGAAATCCTCGCATTGTAATTGGTACATGTTTTTCATTAATAATTCAAAAACGAAGCTTCAAACCCCATTTTTGCAAAGGAAAATCTTGTTCGGAATGACATCCTCTACCACCCCTTTCAGGGAGTAACACTAGTTACGGGACACCCTCTATACCGAACGGTCATCGCGTTACGGTTCTCACTGACGTTCTCACTGACTTAACTGTAATACATTTGTCATACATTTAGTTGAAATATATTTGTGCGTTTTTCGTCGTCGTATAATTAAATTTGTTGCGATACAAAGTTTATTTAATAATTTAATAGTAATTGCGATTTAATTGTTAAATACGATGTCTAAAGTTTACAATAAAACATTCCTATATTCTGTTACGTCGCGGACTATTCTGCGGTTCTTTAACCTTAAAGTGCTGACGCACACCTTGACCTTAGCCGGTTTCCGATTTCTAGCCTAATCAGGGGAATTCGATGGAGGCTATTTCCGAACTGACTAAGCCTTTTGTTGGTTATATTAGATTTTATTGTATATGTTCCTTACTTACAATGATGATCTCTCTCTCTCTCACACGCACTTACACTCGTGACTGATGGTGGCTTGGTTTCGGGTACTGCTTCGCCCCTCTAGACGTCGATGATAGTCTTATCCTTCGCGGTGGACCTATGCGATGGCGCACGCACTCCCGGAATTAACCGTTTACGGGTCTTGTATTATCAGACCCGGAGATACGATACGCGAATGACCGCTGGCCGAGCGCGAAGAAAACCTCGAAGTGTAAAGTCACGAACAATCACCTACAACCAACCATCAACCATCGACTATCAACTATCAACCATTAACTCATTACTCGCGCTTGTCGGCGGTTTTTGTACCCGAAAGTGTGCCAAATCGAGTTCTCATTTGTCACTCATGCACATTTTGGAGTTACGCGATCGCCTTCGCAGAATGCCGCGTTAATGCATTCCTGCGAGTCAATTCGGTCGCGACCCGAATACCGACGGAAAAGGAATATTCCTCGGATGTAACAATTCCATTAAATTGATTGATCTTTCCATTTGTTGTGATAGTTGGCAATATAAAACATACATTCAGTGTAAAAAGTATTCGTAGAGTGACGAATTTTATGTAAAACCTTGTACAATATTCATGTCAGAAATTCATTTTAACAGACTGATCGAAGGCCACAATGTTTCTAAAGAAAGAATTCATAATAATATGTTACATATGACGCTAAATCGAACAAGTAACAATTATATTAGTCAAAGACCGCCAACTCTTTGACATGAAAAATTCCAAAATGTGAAGGCATTTCCAAATGACTTTAGGTTAATAGAAGAAGAAAGAAACGAATAAAATTTCCAAAAATTCTTTGTTGTAACATGACACTGTAAATATGTATATTTTTCTTACATCGTAGACAATATATAAAGTATAAAATGTAGAAAAAAATCAATTCCACTTCCGAGATTGTAGACGAAACCCGGGTTAAAGGTGGGCGGTGAAATAAAAACTAAGACCGAACAACTATTTAAACAAAATAACAAATACGGAATACGAGTTTATTCTTCTTCAAGTATTTCAGGACAGACTGCTACGCGTATATCCGCACAAAATATATAACTTCCCAGGACGCTGGGAAGGGAAAAAAATACACGGAGTGGGAAAGGGAGTGACGTTTCCCGAAATCGGGAATTCCCGCTTTCCCCTGCCAGCGGTCATCCAGCCCAAACTGTTAACCGGTGACCCATCCGGCAATTGGCCTACAAATTACCGTAACAGTAATCCCAAGGATCGCCTCAACTTTTTAAACTACATGGAACCAAAAAAAAGAAATACAACTACGCCAACCTCGGGCTCAATGTGCATACCAAATCGTAAAACGGACAAGTAATGGTTCCTTGGTCTTTTATTGCTGCTATGGTAAACCTTCAATATTCTAAAACGTTCAAAATATCAATAATAATGTCTACAAAAATAATTTTATAGAAGTAATATTATTTCATGTTAATATGTTATTCTGAATCGGTATTATCAGAATCATAAATGTTTAAAACCTCGTTATAAAACAATGAAGTGCATTATAAGTTATTACATCGCTTAATCTGTTTTTAGCACTGAAAAAAAATGTTAACACCAAAACGACCAGGATCAGTCACTCCCGAGGAAATCGGTAATGAAACTGATACAAAAGTTCCTGATGCAACAAGAAATACTTTAGTAACCTCAACAACATGTCGCAACGACTCTTTATCTGAAGAGTTTCTTTCAAGTAGGAGGAGCGGAAGGAGAAACGCTTTAACTTATGCCGAAAGTGGAATGGTAGACCTTCCAGATCGTTTCGAAGAGCTTTCTGTGGATACACGTGAGTCTTATCTGTACATACTAATATACCTTTCTCTGCCAGATTAAAAAAAATTTCTTTTCAAAAGTAGAAGTTATTATCTGACACTTTGTAAATATTATACAAATTATTTGGCGTTCTTAAGATCGTGACATATTACATATACAGTGGCTCACGAAAGTATTCGAACGCTTACATATGCAAACTTGAATGGCCGAAATAATGTACATTCTAGTAATTTACTAAAACAAGTAGATGTCAATAGGAAGATGGAAGTCTTAAGATTATGCCAGTAAAATTTGAAAAAAATTCAATAACGTAAACAGGAGTTATGATACATTTATTATGATACATTTATTGATACATTTGCTATAATGTCTCTTAGCCGACGTTCCATACTATAAACCAGTGCTCGGATTTAGTTGCACTTTTCGGGCCGATTTCGGAGTAGACGCCTTTGCACTTTTCGGGCGGATTTCGGAGTAGACGCCTACCGTGCTCCCACTCCCGCGCTAGACTGCCCACGTGATGCCGTGTGCCAGGGGCGTCGTACGATAGATTTGTCGGGATCCATCCGTGATTAAAAATTTTGCTTCCACTATTAATAATTATTATTTTTACAGATTATTAAAGTTATTAATACTATATTTACGTCAATAAACATCTTCCATATTGTAAGAAAATAGAAAATCGACAAACGTTCGGCACGGGCCACGTGCTTTTTGTCAGTGCATTCCCCTTCCGCAGGGAAACTTCGCTGGGCTTAAGTGCCATAAACAACCATGTTGACGGGGGTGTCCTCAAGACGGGACCGTGTATAGAGAGACATTCCTGTATTGGCATTTGCCGTGAGACGTTTCCAGAAAAGCAGTTAATATTCCACATAAAACGCCCACCATTTAGCAAAAAGCCTTACCTTTACTTTCATTCCATCCATTCATCTTACAATATATACATACACACTGCAGTGCAGAACTATAGCACCACCTATATTTTTAGTAGATTCTGACTTTGAAATAACAATCCATAAAAATCATCCATACGAAATTGAAGGGTATAGTGAACAATGAACTTCAGTAAAAATTTGTTGATATTACTTTATTACATGTGTCGCGAGGTAGGTAAGGTATGAAATGATTAATACTCGCAACACTGTGTTTGCAAGAGGTAAGGTGTTTAATGTGAACTATGGAGACTATGTGTGATATTACAAAATGGAGTATGAAGTATACAAAGTTACTGAGACGGTACAGAATATTAGATGATGTAGAATCGGAGGCTCGACTGATTATATCCGTTTTGACGCCTTTCCGCAGTATATATAAACTTTTCGGAGAAGGCGTAACTCCTTACACAGTTGAGGGGTGGAGTTATTTTTCTCGCAGAGTCTTCCCATTTTCGGCGGGGGAAAAAGTATTATAAATTAAAGTTTGTCAACCGAAAGTGTCCTTCCGGCCCGTGCTGACCATGTGGCGCCATGTGGCCTAATCAACCGTAACGGGAACCGTAACGGGACATGGCTGGCAGCGTTTATGGTAGGGTAGTCTATTGAGCTACGCACGTCCAAAAAACATAAAATAATTTCGCCGACTTACAGACTTTAGGGTAGGCTTAACTGCCTACACCTAAACATCTGTAAACGGTCAGTGCTAATTTCTACCAACACTGCGAACCATGTGCCGCTACAACATGTATAAGAAAATATAACATGAAAATTTTTCATCGTTGCATAACTGCAGCACGATGTGAATACATGTCAAATATATACACATAAATATGATTTTAATAACTTGTAGGGCCTCCTTGTTTTGTTATAAGTTGGAAAATTCTATCTGGCATGCTCTCGATGAGTTTCTGAAAAATTCGTTGGCTAATTTCATTGCATGCTTTTAGTATTTCGTTTTTTGGTTCTAAAATATTTTCATACTGTCGATTTTCGATATAAACTTTTCGGACAATATTGGCCCAAATATTTTCCATCGGGTTTTTGTCTGGTGTACATGCTGGCCATTTAATAATATTAATTTTTTTCTTTCCAACCATGATACTTATCTTCCGACAGGTGTGTACGAGGTGTGACACAAAAGTAACAAGACTAGTCCAATAAATCATTGTACCTGCAGAATCAGTTCTCCGTGACATTATCACCTTCAAAGTAGTCCCCTTCAGCATTCACACACTTTTTCATTTGGTGCTGCCATTGCTGGTAACAGTTCTGGAACGAGGTTTTTGGAAGTCCCTTCAGGAGATTCTCCGTTTCTGCCTGAACCTCTCTAACTGAGGTGAAATGGGTTCCCATTAAGCAAAATTTAACTTTAGGAAATAAAAAGAAGTCGCATGGAGCCAAATCAGGTGAATAAGGAGAATGCCCCATCACAGTAACATTTTTACTGGTTAGAAACTGCTTAGCAGACAGTGCCGTGTGAGCGGGTGCATTGTCCTGGTGCAACAGCCATCCATCGCTTCACAACTGTGGCCTTTTTTTCCTAATTTTTTCACGAAATCTTTTTAGTAGTTCAATGTAATAGTGTTAGTTAACAGTCTGACCACTGGGAAACCACTCAATCATTACAATTCCATTAATGTCGAATTTTGATTTTGACATGCGTGCTTTTTTGGGTTTTGGGAATCCTGGAGACTTCCACTCCATTGACTGGCGCTTAC